TAATATCCCAACCAATATTTAAGTAGACAATATCCCAACCAATATTTAAGTAGACAATATCTCAACCAATATTTGAGTAGACAATATCCCAACCAATATTTAAGTAGACAATATCCCAACCAATATTTGAGTAGACAATATCCCAACCAATATTTAAGTAGACAATATCTCAACCAATATTTGAGTAGACAATATCCCAACCAATATTTAAGTGGACAATATCCCAACCAATATTTAAGTAGACAATATCCCAACCAATATTTAAGTAGACAATATCACAATCAATATTTAAGTAGACAATATCCCAACCAGTATTTTAGTAGACAATATCCCAACCAATATTTAAGTAGACAATATCCCAACCAATATTTAAGTAGACAATATCCCAACCAATATTTAAGTAGACAATATCACAATCAATATTTAAGTAGACAATATCTCAACCAATATTTAAATAGACAATGTCCCAACCAGTATTTGAGTAGACAAGAAGAGTAGAAACGAAAATCATATTTTAAACAACACGTAAATGAATTGTTCTGATACTCTTTAATAAAAATAAAATGTAAGAAATAACTCGGTTTTAGAGATATCAAGAGTTGATGAAAGTGTCGTGTGTAGCAGTCAGTGAAAGCCAATATTTGACTGAAGAAAACGAATATGTTGTGCCCAGTTTAATTAATATAAATGTTTCTTTCATTTTGTTCCACTTACTGCAATTTTTCACCAGAAAGAGGCGACTTATTTTTTACAATAACAACACATGAAATTTGTAAACATAACACCATACGGATTTTCAGGTCTTTGTACTAGTGTTCTTTCCAGTTTGCTCAGTGACTTCCATGTTGATGTAAAAATTGTATTTTTATTCCATCTTACTTCAAAATTTAAAATATGTTCAGCTTTATATGCAGATATATGGCAGAAAATAAAGGACATGAAAAAATTAATAAACTTATTTGGTGGGGTCTGAAAAAAAACTGTACCATTACTAACAACGTTCATTCCATCTTCGAACATTATCTAACACAATATTGTTACGACATCGAGGTCACGTGACTAGTATCACGCCACTCCTTCTCTCGAACCTTCGTGAATTATCGGGAGACTACTAGATATGTGTTAGTCTTGTATATATAAGACGTTGACAACGTGACGGGACAACAGAGGTAATGAGTAATTGAATGTATGCGGACAAAATATTGTTGGCCACGTGAGACATAGCGTTGTTATAGAGCGACTGTTGAAATTAAGTGTATCGTAAAGTTATATTCAGAAAGAATAAACCAGTTTTATTTAAGAAAGGACTTGTGTCGCTAAAGTTTCGTCGGAACGAATTTACGGAAAATTAACTAACGACTGGAGGTGTAACAATATGATAAAATTAGCATAAATATGGATCTTACTGAGCCCACACAGTGTGACGCTGATACCGTTATCGTTTAAGGTCTTACAATGTGCGTAACACGTTACAGTTTTTAGAATTTTTGACTGTACAAGAAAAAGGAAAGTCTCTTTAAAACTTTAGGCTTTTCATGGACCTCAATAATCACAGAAAGTCAGAATACAAAGCTCTCGTTCACCACCATATCAAAAGGAACTTGAAGACTGAAACAAATGGTTTGAAACCTAACCCTACTTCAGGCCTAACGTTCAAGAACCAGAAGAAAGTTTACTGAAAAAAAATATAATAGAAGTGTGTAAGTTATCAGATTTTAAAAAAATAGCTTATACAATAAGAAGTGCAATATTTCTGAAAATAACAATCTTATAGTAAAAACCAAAAACCAATATAAATCTGAAACTGAAACTAGAAACGAGTGACGGAAATAAATAAATAAATATAGTTTAAGTCGTCGTTCTGTCACGCGGGACACTTTTATCACAAGAAAACTGCCACAAACACAAGGGACACCCGAATCATTTGGCAAGTAGGTTCTTTAGAACGTAAACAATATTCCTTTCTTTCCTTCACTCGTTTCTAGTTTTAGTTTCAGATTTATATTGGTTTTTAATTGAATATCGTTTCGTTCACTGATGTTTGCCTGGTCCAGTAAAACATATTCAGTCCTTATATTGAGGCCTAACATTGGCTTGATGATTAGGGCTGAGGCCTAACATGGCTTGATGATTAGGGCTGAGGCTTAACATTGCTTGGTGATTAGGGCTGAGGCCTAACAGGACTTGGTGATTAGGGCTGAGGCCTAACATGGCTTGGTGATTAGGGCGCTCGATTCCAATATGCAGGTCAAGAATTCGAATCCCCGTTACACCAAACACGTTCTCCCTTTCAGCTGGGGGCATTATAATATGACGATCAATTCAACTATTCGTTGTAAAAGAATAGCCCAAGATTTGGCGGTGGGTGGTGATGTGACTAGCTGCCTTTCCTCTAGTTTATCACTGCTAAATTAGGGACGGCTAGCGCAGATAGCCCTCGTGTAGCTTTGCGACAAATTCAAACCAAACTAGATATCATGACTTTTATAAATACGCACCAACAAACCACAGTAAGTAAGAAAGTAACCAACATTAGCTTTAGGATCATCATTCGGACCAGGCCTTTACTTTACAGAACCAACCAGATTCTTTGACATATATGGTGGTAGTTTTGTAGGTGTTATATAGGTGTCTTTTAATGTAATACAGTTTTGAAAATGGCGGATATAGAACTCTTAAAATAACAAACTGCGTGACATGTTTGTGAGACACTTACTTCAAAATCATTTTATTTATAGGCTAACGATTTTATAATTACTCCCGAAAAGCTTGAAACTAAAACATAGATATTTTTTTTAACTCGGGATATTTATA